AAAAAAAAAAAAAAGAATGAGTCTGGAGATTTTGTTTAGTTTAGTATTTTTTCCCCTCACTCTTGAGCAAGTTTCTGCACATCTTTGTTGGATAGTAATAAGGGTCCTTGTAGATCTTCTGCAACCACCTTTATTAAAAGGTCCTTCCTGATAATATGTCTGAAGTAGGAAAAAAGAAGTCTAGCTATCTTGGCTTCCAAGAGGCACTCTGGCTGCACTTCTTCCAACACCGATGTTTGTTCATTAGGCAGTCCATGGTACTTTCAATATTCTCCTCATAACTCAAATGCACCCATTCTTCTATGGGTTTCTTATTCACTGTCCAACTTTCACATGCACACGAAGTTACTGAAAATATCATGGATTGGGTCAGACACACCTTAGTTCTTGATTTGCCTAAAGCAATAACGTCACTTAGTCTCTTGATTGCTGCTTCAATGAGAGTTGATGGTTGATCCAAGCAAAATGAGGTCTTTGGCAACTTCCATTTCTCCATTTATATGGATGTTGCTTATTGCCCCAGTTGTGAGGATTTTTATTTTCTTTACATTGATATGCAACCTATACCAAAGCCTGTGATCTTTGATCTTCATAAGCAAGTACTTTAAGTCATCTTCACTTTCAGCAAGTAAGGTAGTATCATCTGCATATCTCAGGTTGTTAATGAGTCTTCCTCCAATCCTGATGTCATGTTTTTCTTCATACAATTCAGCAACTCGGATTATTTGCTCAGCATAGAGACTGAATAAGTTGAATAAGCGTGGTGAAAAAATACAACCCTGGTGCACACCTCTCCTGATTTTAAACCATTAAATGTTCCCTTGTTCTGTTGAAACAACTGGTCTATGTACACGTTCTTCATGAACACAATTAAATGTTTTGGAATATTGTCCATAACTTGTCATGATCTACACAATCAAAAGCCTTTGCATAGTCAATAAAGCACAGGTAAACATTCTGGTATTCTCTGATTTCAGCCAAGTTTCATCTGACATCAGCAATGATGTGCATAGTTCTACATCTTCTAAATCCAGTTTGCACTTCTGATCCTGACATCAGCAATGATAACCCTCATTCCATGTCTTCTTCTGAAACTGGCTTAAACCTCTGGAAGTTCTCTGTCAATGCATGGTTGCAACCTTTTTTGATTATCTTTAGTAAAATTTTATTTGCATGGGATATCAATGATATTGTCTGATGATTTCCACATTCCATGAGGTCACCTCTTTTTGGAATGGGCACCAAATACAGATCTCTTCCAGTCAATTGGCCAGGTCATTGTCCTCCCAATTTCTAGACATGGATGAGTGAGTGCCTCCAATACCACATCAGTTTGTTGAAAGATTTCAATTTGTATTCCATCAATTCCTGGTGCCTTGTTCTTTGCCAATGCCTTCAATGCACCATGGACTTCTTTCTTCAGGATCATTGGCTCTTGATCATATGCTACCTCTTGAGGTTGAACAACAGCTATTTCTTTTTGGTACAGTGATTCTGTGTAATCCTTCCATGTTCTTTTGATGCTTTCTGCATCATTCAATATTTTGTCCATAGAATCCTTCAATAGCACAAGTCAAGTGCAATGAACAATTCATTGGTCTTGCAAAATTCTACTATGCAATCTCCAGCATCATGTTCAAACCAAGGCCATATTTTGCAACAACTGATCCCTTCTCTTTGTTTCCAATCTTGCATACTAATCACCAGTAACTATCAAT